TATTTGTTTTTCATCTTTGTTTAGGTTTATGTCTAACTGTGAAATGCTATGTATCTCTCCGTTAGTATAAACGCACAGACGATCAGTGTTTCTCTCGCTCCTTCAGTCAGTTTTGCTGCTGTTGTTTTCAGATGTGGAGAAGTTGAGCACCTTCAGTCAGAGGTTTCCTCTGCCCTCCATGTACCGGATACACGTGTGGAAAGTCCTGCTGGGTGAGAACGTGAATTATCATTCACATACAGTGGTGGCCAAAATGATTAGGACAGTAGTATTTCCAGCAGCTAAAAATGGTTTTAAGTCAGTTGTTTCTCTCTTTTGCTGTAGTGTGTCAGTAGGAAATATCAGTTTACATTTCCAAACATTCATTTAGCCATTAATTGTAATAATCCAGTGAGATCTCATTATCATCCAGTCTGTCTGGAATCCAGACGAACCTGTGGCAACGTCTCCAAGATGCTTCAAGAAACCTACCTGCAAAGCTACCTGAAAAATTATGCGCAAGTGCACCTAGGGCAAAAGCTGCTTACTACAGCAAAAGATAGAAATAACTAACTTAAAACCATTTTTAGCTGCTGGAAATACTAGTGTCCTAATCATTTTGACCACCACTGTATGTAATATAACACATTAGCTACGTTTCCATCCAAAGATTCGAATTAAACTAATGCGCAAAACTGGAATATCGCATAAAACATTTGTGAATTAAGCACCGTTTCCATCCAACGAGTCAAAGAGAGCAAAATCATCACTTCCTGATAAACTGACACTAAATATCACTAAGAAAACTAGGAGAAGCCACTGAATATATTATACAGAATTATACAGAATTACTTTGACGACAGACTTGGCTCAGGCATTTCAGAACGACCACAACAACATTTGAGATGCTGTGCAACGAGATCGGTTCGCTGGTTAGTCAAGTTATCCCATCTCAATGAGCAAAGTCACGTGACTTTTCCGATGCGCATGGTGGAATTTATTCGGTATACGTGACCCTGGAGCACAAAACCAATCATAAGGGTCAATTTTCAGAAATTGAGATTTATACATCATCTGAAAGCTGAATAAATAATCTTTCCGTTGATGTATGGTTTGTTAGGATAGGACTATATTTGGCTGAGATACAACTATTTGAAAATCTGGAATCTGAGGGTGCAAAAAAATCTAAATATTGAGAAAATCATCTTTAAAGTTGTTCAAATGAAGTTCTTAGCAATGCATATTACTAATCAAAAATTAAGTTTTGATATATTTACAGTAAGAAATTTACAAAATATCTTCATGGAACATGATCTTTCCTTAATATCCTAATGATTTTTGGCATAAAAGAAAAATGGAAAATTTTGACCCATACAATGTATTTTTGGCTATTGCTACAAACATACCCCAGCAACTTAAGACTGCTTTTGTGCTCCAGGGTCACATATGTGTTTCCATCGTAGTTTATGTGCATTTTTTCTTATCGGATAAAAAGTTTATCCTACTCAAATGTGCTCATACGTTTTTTATGCACATTTTTAGAATTTATGCACGTCTTGGTGTGTCCATCCAGCGTTTTTTTTATGCGATATTCCAAAATGCGCATACAAACAGGTGGATGGAGACATCGCGAGTGTCTGTAGATCAGGCTGGTGAAGCCGTCTGTCCCGTCGTCTGCAGGTATCCTGCCGCCTCACAGTGATTCTCACGCTCTGGTGTCTCGCTATCGTCTCGAGCAGTTTGAGGACGTCAGCGGCGCTCTGACAGCCATGCGCTTCATCCACGCATCCACCCCGGCGACGGAGCTCTACCTGCGCATGTACCAGCTGGAGAGCCGACAGCTTCCCCGCAGGAGCGAGCTCAGGCCGCCGGTGAGGAGCGGAGAGGTTTGTGGGTAATCAGTACATTAGGTCAAGTCAAGTCACCATTATTTATATGTGACCCTGGACCACAAAACCAGTTATAAGCGTCCATTTTTTGAAATTGTGATTTATGCATCATCTGAAATCTGAATAAATAAGCTTTCCATTGATGTTTGGTTTGTTAGGATAGGACAATATTTGGCTGAGATACAACTATTTGAAAATCTGGAATCTGAGGGTGCAAAAAAATCTAAATATTGAGAAAATCATCTTTAAAGTTGTTCAAATTAAGTTCTTAGCAATGCATATTACTGATCAAAAATGAAGTTTTGATATATTTACGGTAGGAAATTTACAAAATATCTTCATGGAACATGATCTTTACTTAATATCCTAATGATTTATGGCATAAAAGAAAAATCGATAATTTTGACCCATACAATGTATTTTTACTATTGCTACAAATATACCCCAGCGACTTAAGACATATGGTATAGTTACATTTAGTCATTTAGCAGACACTTTTGGAAGCAATCAAAACCAACAAAAGAGCAATGATATGCAAGTGCTATAACAAGTCTCAGTTAGCTTAACGCATACATAGCAAGGTCTTTTTTATTATATAATAAATAAAAAGCAAACAAAAAGAATACAAAAAGAATAGAGAAGCTAGTATTAGTTTTTTTGTTTAAATTAATAGAGTGCAAGTCTAAGAGAGGCAAGTATTTTTTTTTTAAAGAATAGAATTAGAATAGAGAGTGCTAGAGTTAGAGGGTCAAATAAAGATGGAAGATATGTGTTTTTAGCCGATTCTTCAATATATATATATTTATTATAGACAGTATATTTGTAGCAATAGCCAACAATACATTGTATGGGTCAAAATTATCAATTTTTCTTTTATGCCAAAAATCATTAGGATATTAAGTAAAGATCATGTTCTATGAAGATATTTTGTAAATTTCTTACTGTAAATATATCAAAACTTAATTTTTGATTAGTAATATGCATTGCTAAGAACTTCATTTGAACAACTTTAAAGATGATTTTCTCAATATTTAGATTTTTTTGCACCCTCAGATTCCAGATTTTCAAATAGTTGTATCTCAGACAAATATTGTCCTATCCTAACAAACCATACATCAATGGAAATCTAATGATGTATACATTTTATACATTGTTCTAAACATGAGCCGTGTCTAAAAGGTAAAGAGGGAGGTGTGTCTACAGTTTATAGCAACATCTTCAGTATTTCTCAGAGGTCGGGTTTCAAGTATAACTCGTGCTTCATATAACGTTATCCAGAGAAACAAGTGTCAATGATAAACCCCTGTGATGTTTGTACAGGCCACCGGGTCGTGTTTCCTCATGGCTCAGGTTTGATGGTTTTCTTCCAGGACGACGAGGATGAAAACTTCCTGGCTATCGGCAGAGCGATGGAGGAGATCGTCGATGACCCGGTCGACTGCTATTGGCTCATCAGGTGTTTCATCAACCAGTTCAAGCTCAAGTTTGGAGACTCCATCCCTCACCTGGTACACCTTAACCTGCTAAAGGAACAGCTAACAAAGATTTCAATATTATTGATTAATCATTTATTTTTTACACTATAATAAATAATAATGTATTATTATTATGAATGTTTAACATTTTTAGTGTTAAATAACCTTGCAGATATATAACCACAGAAAAATAAGTAACACTTATTACTTTTGTAATGTTGTTGTTATATCATTTTTTGAATGATTATTAATGTTGATTTATTTAAGTGTTCAATAATTGTACTTATTTTTTTAAACACTATAATGCATACTAACAGTGATTATGTGTAATATTAATTAATTTAATTACTATTACTGTTATTATTTTTTATGCTTTTTAAATTTTGGTTTAGGAGTTCATAAGCATGCAAAATGCATATTTAATTTTTTATTCTTTTTGTTGCTGTAATAGTCAGCTGTAATATCAGTTGTTGTTGTTGTTGTTATTATTACTTTATTAGTTATTTTGTTGGTTTAAATGTTCAATAACAATCCATAACAGTTTTTTACTTTTTATTTTTGACAGAATAAAAAAAACATGTATATAGAGTTATTCTCAATATATGTGTTTTGTATGATTTTTAACTTGTGTTTTACTTTTTCCTTTTAACACTATAATAAATAATAACAGTTATTATTATTATTATTAATATTTGTTTTTATGCATTTTCAATTTTGGTTTGTCTTTAACAACCACCCAGAACAAGTTTTTAAGTTTTCAAGTTTTTGTCCTTTTTGACACTTTAATAATAAGTTATTATTATTATTTTGTATGATTTTGTAAAATGTTGGTTTAAGTGTTCAGTACCCATCCAGAACACATTTAAATTTTTTTCCTTTTTGACTGTAAAAAGTAATAACTGTTGTTGCTATTATTTTTATTTATTAATTATTTTTAATTTTGGTATAAGTGGTTATTTTTTTCGTTTTGACATTATAATAAAATATATTTTTATTTTCATTTTTATGATTTTTAATGTTTAAGTGTTTAATCATGTTACTTGTTTTCCTTTTAACACCAGATTTTTTTTTTTACACATTAATGAATAACACCAGTTATTATTATTATTTTTATTGCATTTACTCACCCTTCATATATGGAGCTCGAAAACTAACAGAAACACCACAAATATAGTCCATGTTTCATTCTTCTTCCGTCTTGTGCAACAGCTCATTGATGTAAAGTTACTCTGATTTGTTTTGAATTGTGTTTCAGCCGAAGAGTTTGGAGCACTTCCTGTCTCAAGAGGACGCCGCTCTTCTGGCTCATCTGAAGACGTCTGGAGCTCTGCACTCGCTGCCGTACTGTCTCTGGTTCAGACGCTGCTTTGCTGGCTGTTTACCAGAGTCCAGCCTACAGAGGTCAGGACACAATGACGTCCACTGCAGTTTACTGATTTCTCTCAAAAATACAGGAAAAATTGTGAAATATTTTTACCATTTCAAATGCTGTTTTCTATGTGAATATCTGTTAAACTGTAATTTATTCCTGTGATGCGCAGCTGTATTTTCAGCATCATTACTCCAGTCTTCAGTGTCACACAATCCTTCAGAAATCATTCTAATATGTGCCCCTGCAGCACAAAACCAGTCATAAGGGTCAATTTTTTGAAATTGAGATTTATGCATCATCTGAAAGCTGAATAAATAATCTTTCCATTGATGTATGGCTTGTTAGGACAATATTTGGGATACAACTATTTGAAAATCTGGAATCTGAGGGTGCAAAAAAAATCTAAATATTGAGAAAATCATCTTTAAAGTTGTTCAAATGAAGTTCTTAGCAATGCATATTACTGATCAAAAATTAAGTTTTGACATATTTACAGTAGGAAACTTACAAAATATCTTCATGGAACATGATCTTTACTTAATATCCTAATGATTTTTGGCATAAAAGAACAATCTATAATTTTGACCCATACAATGTATTGTTGACTATTGCTACAAATATACCCCAGCGACTTAACACTGCTTTTGTGCTCCAGGGACACATATGCTGATTTGTTGCTCAAGAAACATTTCTAATTATTATCAGTGTTGAAAATTGTTGAAACTTGTGATTGTCTGATTGATTGTGCTCTTGTGTGATTGGCTGACTGATGGACTGTGCTGTGCTGTGATTGGTTGGCAGGGTTTGGGATAAAGTCATCAGCGGCTCCTGTAAGATCCTGGTGTTTGTTGCCGTGGAGATTCTGCTCAGCTATAAGATCATGCTGATGGGAACGAGTGACCCGGATGGAGTTTACAACTTCCTGTCTAATGTGAGCCGCGAACATCACTCTTTCAGTTACATATCATGGCAAAAATGGGTTTGTTTAAAGAAATGTTCTGGGTTCAATACCTGTTAATGAATGTACTTTATTCATCTTTACAGTATGACCCTTTTCAAGTAATTTTTTTTATCTTTTAAAATCCTCCAGTACTCTCGTCCCATAGACTTTCACTAATGATTTGATAATTTAATTGATTCTTCCTCTTCTTCTATCAAACACTGTTTTTTGAGAAACCCTTATTTATATAAAATAACAGTATTTTATTACTATTATTATTAAATGAACTACTGTTTTTTAATTGAGGGACAAATATTTGTTATTTTATTTTATTAATTCAATTAAGTAACATCATTATTAACTACTATTTTAATTGAGGAACAAGGAATTATTTTAGTATTATTTTATTTATTGTATTAAATACTATTCATTTATTATTATTATTATTATATGAAATGCCATTTTTTTAATGAGGAACAATAAATTAATTCTATGATTTTTTTTATTTTATTAATTTTATTAAACAACATTTTATAATTATTATGAGGTAGTTATGAAATGCCATTTTTTTAATGAGGAACAATAAATTAATTCTATGATATTTTTTATTTTATTAATTTGATTAAACAACATTTTATAATTATTATGAGGTAGTTTTTTAAATTGAGGAACAAGGAATTACTTTTTTACATTTTATTATATTAAATATCATATATTTTTTTATTATTATTATTATTAATTTTTTTTTTAATTGAGGAACAGTTAATTAATTTTATTAATCATATTAAATTAACATTTTGCCACAAATGATACTGAATAGATTTTGAATGAATAGAATATTGAACCCAGAAAATTTTCCCAACCTTTTTCTGTAGTTTCTGTGATTTAACATTTAAGTTTTTGATGCACCGACATAAAGCTATAAATGTTGCTAATGCGCTTCTGATGTCTTGGTCTCTCTGTACAGCTGCCGCAGGAGAACACAGACGCCATCGTCACTAAAGCCATCGATCTGTGGCACAAACACTGCGGCACGCCCATGCACTCTGTGTAATTCATCATTTCTGAGTCTGACATGTGACGGAGACTCAAAGCGCTCAGACGTGGATGACAGGAACGTCAGCTGTGTGTGTGGTCGCTCTTTTATTAGGTTGGTTTACATGAGAATCTGCATACATCATTCAGGAGTGACAGTACGGTTCATGACATGCCTCCCGCTCTGAGCCAGTAGCAGCAGCGGAAGAGAGAAACGCTAGCGTCTGGAAACAGAAACACATCAATCATTCAAAACATGACGACGTCTGCTCTTCTCTGAGTGTGGTCACCGATCGGCCAAAAATACTGTTATTATTTTTACACCCTCATGTCGTTCCAAACCTGTTCATATGATTCATAAGATCAGAAAAAGTGCTTAAAAGTCTCAAAAATCCCTTTATAGTCTCAGAAAAAAAAAAAAACATGTAGGTTTGGAACAAATGAGGGTGATAAATAAAGTCTTTTTTTTTGGGTGAACTTTTCCTGTAATGCCCTGCCAATGTGTTCAGTATCAAAGTCAGTTAAAAATATTTATAAATAATATATTAACATAAAAACATCCCAGCACACATTGTTACAGTGGTAACACTTTACAATAAGGTCTCATTTCTTTATGAATGAACAGTGTTTAATAAAAATACAGTTGATCATATTCATGATAGTTCACAGTGCATTAAGTAATGTTAACAAATACAACTTCATTTTAAAAATAGGTTAGTAAATGTTAAAATTTACATTGTAAACGCATTTCAAGGAATTATTATTTTGTATTTATTATTACTATTAATATTAGTACATTAACTATTATTTTTTTTAAATTGAGGAATGAGTTTATTTTTTGTTAATTTTTAATAATATTAACTAAAGTCATTGCTTGTTATTCATAATTAAAAAAAACTGGTAATGTAGTAATAATAATAAATTATTAAATAATTTCTTGATAATTTCAACATTTACTAATACATTTCTAAAATGAGATTTTATTTGTTAACATTAATTTATGTTAATATTAATAGTTATTCAAATAAAAATGTAAATATTAAATACAACCTTTTTACTAGTAAATTTTGAAAATCAACAAACTTAAACTAATTTATTAGTCTTTATGCTGTTTTCAAAATTTACTAGTAACAAAAGTTATTTATTAGTAATAAATGCAGTAGAATTAAGTTAACTGGAACCATATTATATAGAACTTCATTAGTTGACATGAACTAACAATTCTACAGCATTTATTAGTCTGTTTGTTGATTTCGATATTTTCTAGTAAACAAGTTGTATTTAATATTTACATTTTTTTATTTTAATAACTGTATTAATATTAATGTAATGTTAGCAAATAAAAACTTATTCAAATTAAAAGTTGTATTTGTTTACATTTAATGTTAGTATTATTACAATAAAATAAGCAATTTCCTGCTCCTTAAAACAACCACAACAGTTGTTCATGTAATAAGAATAAAATAAAATTATAAAATTATTCTTTGTAATGCACTTACAATGTTAATTTCAACATTTAACAATAGACATTTACATTAAAAGTTGTTCATTAACATTAGTTAATATAATTCCTTTTTCCTCAATTAAAGAACAGGTCATGTAATAATAATGAAATTATAAAATAATTCCTTGTTGTACACTTACAAAGTTAATTGAATAAATTTAAAATTAACACATTAAATAATGCACTGTGGACTAACATGAACAATTGTATTATTATTAGCTAAGATTAAATGTTGTAACAAATGAGACCTTACTGTAAATGTTACTGTTGCTATTTCTGTATGATCACTGTGAATAAAATACAAAAAGAAAACGAATGTAACACTGATTATTGTGATTCCCTTCCCTGTTTTGGTTTTATTTTGGCAACGTGACGCCCTGTAAAGTGGGCGGGGTTTAAAGGGTCACCCAACGCTCGATCACATGACAGCTGAGCACCAATGAGCGCAAAATGAGACGAAGGAGGAACAAAAACCCGGTTTGAAAACACTCGGCAGGACTCGTGAACAATGAGTCACTCTTAACACGTTATTGCTCTGTCCTGTCGCCCGTCGAGATCGCCTCCTGTGATTGGTCGGTAGTGTGGGCGTGGCAAACGTTGCTTTATTGTTATTAAAGATGTTCCTGGGTTTTATGACTTAAAATAGCACAAACAGCAGCCAACATCATGGGTTTGACTCCCAGGGAATGAACTGATAAAAATAAATATTTAATAGCAATGGATAAAAGTGTCTAGCAAATGCATATAAATTTAAAATAAGCAGGAAATGTGGAATTAAAGGAATAGTTAATCCAAAACTGAATAATTTGCTGAAAATGACACCACCATCTTCAGATTTGTAGAAATGTAGCATTGCATCAGTGTCTCAGCAATGGATGCTCTGCAGTGAATGGGTGCCGTCAGAATGAGAGTCCAAACAGCTGATAAAAACATCACAATAATCCACACCACTCCAGTTCATCAGCTAACATCTGGAGAAGACAAAAGCTGAAACTAATCCAGCATTAAGACGCTTTTAACTTCAAACTGTTGCTTCTGGCTAAAATATGAGTCCATAATTCATAAAATGCTTCCTCCATTGAAAAAGCCAATGTTATATGGACTCATATTTTTGCCAAAAGCAACAGTTTTAAGTTAAAAACGTCTTAATGCTGGATTTGTTTCAGCTTTTGTCTTCTCCAGATGTGGATTATTGTGGTGTTTTTATCAGCTGTTTGGACTCTCATTCTGACGGCACCCATTCACTGCAGAGCATGAGACACTGATGCAATGCTACATTTCTACAAACCTGATGAAGAAACAAACTCATCTACATCTCGGATGATCTGAGGGTGAGCACATTTCCAGCTAATTTTCCTTTTTGGCTGAACTGTTTCTTTAAAGACAGCGTCTAATAATGTGGTTTGCGCTCATTAGAAAAGTCGTTTCCTTTGTGTTCTCCGTTTTTGAAGACTAAAAGGACTGGAATAATATCAGTTGCAAGTAGAAAATCAACTACATCGTTTGCTGCATTAAAAACCATCGCCTGGAAAAACCAAAAAAAGAGAAATTCACGGCGAAGGGCACGTAATAGATCAGTGTTTGTCAAAATATACAGAAATATGGGCACACAGACAGATCGTCAGCTCGCTGGTATCCTCCGGGCCGCTGAGAGTCCAGCAGGATCAGCTCAGATCTGCTGCGAGTGATTCCTGATCAAATCCAGCAGCAGGTAGTCTGTTCAGGGTCCATTAGAGATGAACAGCTCCAAACCAGAGAGAGAGAGTTCGCTCTACGGCCGATGAAACCTGCAGAGAACACAAGAATGACAACACAGTAAACATGATGCCCATCCCATAATGCAATGTGCTTCACTTGACCTTATCATTTAAACCAGAAGAACTTAAAGCTGCTTTTTTAAGTCATATTTACATTAAATACTGTAGCAATCTAGTGCTTCCAAACAGACTGAGACATCATGTATATTAATGCGACTTGTCAATTTTAAATGTTTATAAATATTTTTTTACACATTTAATTTTATGTATATTTAAAAAAATATATATTAAGAAACATATGTAGATGTTTTTATGCTAAATATACACTACTGTTTAGAAGTTTAGAGATTTTTTATTTGTAAACGGAATCTTATGTTCATCAAGGCTGCATTTATTTGATAAAAAAACTGTAGAAATTGTAAAATATTATTAGAATTTAAAATAACTCTTTTCTATGTGAATATCTGTTAAACTGTAATTTATTTCTGTGATGCGCAGCTGTATTTTCAGCATCATTACTCCAGTCTTCAGTGTCACATGATCTTCAGAAATCAGTATAATATGCTGATTTGCTGCTCGAGAAACATTTCTGATTATTATCAATGTTGAAAACAGTTGTGCTGCACAATATTTTTGTGGAAACCGTGATACAGAATTTTTTCAGAATGAATAAAAAGTTGAAAAGAACAGCATTTATTTGAAAGAGTAAAGGCATTTATAATGTTGGATAAGATTTATGTCACTTTTACACCATTTAATGCATCCTTGCTGAATAAATGTATTAATTAAAAATAATTGTATATAGAAGTCAATTAAAAATAAATATAAAAATATTAATATAAATTTAATATAAAATGTAAACAAAATAAGAAATATATTACTATATTAACACGTTTAATCTATATATATATAAACATTTATTGTTTAATATTTATAAAAAAAATTATTATAGAGAGATAAACAGATAGATAGAAAATACAAGGTGTTCCTTAGAAAGTTAAAAACACATACATACTGAAATTAAAATAATAGCTTATTTCTGTATATTTATAATTAATTAAAATGCATATTTTCAATAAAAAAAAAAAAGCTGAAAATAGACAAAAAGTGTATAAAAAAGCTTGATTTCGTTCTTATCATGATTAGGAATCAGCTAATAATATTGAATTCATTATCTACACAACAATGAAGTACACAGAAGCCAGACAGGCGACTCGTGTCAGATCTGGATGTGTTTGCGTTCACCTGGTTAGATGTCGACTGGACTCGTGCACCTCCATCTCTGTGCTTTTGAACTCGTTCAGCTCTTTGCGTATAGCAGCCTGAGAGAGACACAAATCACACTAAACTCAGAACCCATGAAGATCAGCCGTCTGTCCATCTTTAAACAGGACACTGCAAAGATCGTATTCTCAACTAGTATCCTGCTCTTGTTTTCCAGTGAAAACATTTCATCCTTAAACTAGAAGCATTTTATTTAAGCAAAATCTCTCCTGAATGTAAGTGTGTTTTTTGTCCAGGGCTGAACCTTTTAGAAAAAAAAATCGAATTGTATTTTCTTCCTGATAAAATTGTGATTTTTTTTTTTTTACATTAGCTGTGCTTATTTTGAAAGGCTGCACAATTTGTAAAAAAGAAAAAAAAAAGAAATCACATTGTGACTATATGTTAATATTATTACTATTCCACAAAATAAGAAATTACTATTTTAATAATCTTAGTATATTCTAAAGTTTAAAAAAAAGTGCATTAAAAAAATAGAATAGGAATATATATATATATATATATATATCATAATTTATGTACTGTATCATAACTTCCATTCCATTTCTATGTTAAAAAAATAGCTAAAAGTTTAATTTAAAAAAGTATTATTTTACAGAAATAAAACCCACAATAAAATGACTGTAAATTGGCTGTATATATTTTTTTTTTTACAAATATTAACTTCTAGGCAAAATTTGAGTCATTATTTGATTTGTATTTGATTTGCTCTGTTCAAATGATCGCAAGCGATCTGTCAATCTCACACACTCATTCCTAAAATATTTCCTATCATGAAAC